GCATGGCCCCAGGCTGGGTGCAGGGCCGCTGGTTGGCTGTATGGCCCCCAGGGCTAGGTGCATGGCCCCAGGCTGGGTGCAGGGCCGCTGGTTGGGTGTATGGCCCCCAGGGCTGGGTGCAGGGCTCCGGGCTGGGTGCAGGGCTCCGGGCTGGGTGCAGGGCCGCTGGTTGGGTGCATGGCCCCCAGGGCTGGGTGCAGGGCCTCGGGCTGGGTGCAGGGCCGCTGGTTGGGTGCATGGCCCCCAGGGCTGGGTACATGGCCCCGGGCTGGGTGCAGGGCCGCTGGTTGGGTGTATGGCCCCCAGGGCTGGGTACATGGCCCCGGGCTGGGTGCAAGGCCGCTGGTTGGGTGCATGGCCCCCAGGGCTGGGTGCAGGGCCTCGGGCTGGGCGCACAGCTCTGCGTCCACTCACCCACAGCACACACGGCCGCAGTCTCAGGGCAGCCTTTGGCACGGCCTTCCTGAAGCACTCGGTGGCAAACGTTAATGAAAAAATGCTTCTTCTCCACAGCTGCCAGGCTGCCATCCACAGCCTCCCAATTCTGTTCCCGTTCTGTATCAGAAAAAAGAAGGGGGAAAAATGTCTTTTAAGTCTATCTTTGAGCAAGGCAAGGATTATTCTTCTGAGATTCACATCCTACATGGGGTGGAAGCCACCCAGAGCCCATGAAGTATCTGGTCTCTTTCAGGGGCTTAACTGTGCCCCTACAGAATGATGTGATGTCCTAACCTCGTGCCTGGGAATGTGACCTTGTTTGGAGAATCAGGGTCTCTCTTTGAAGGTCTTATCAGTCAAGGCATAGCAGAGGAGGGTGAGGCCTAATCCCCTCTGAGAGGAGTCACGCAACAGGAGGCCCACTCGGGGGTACAGCCTGGGAAGAATCTACACCAGCAGGGACAGGCCAAAGACTGCCAGGGGCCACCAGAAAGGGGAGCACGCCCTTAGCTAGAATCACCTCGTCAGAAAGCCCCTTCAAACTGCCCCCTAACTGCAGAGTTACAAGAAGACAAACTCCTGTCCTGTACAATACTTGTTAAAAAAAAAAAAGTTTGAAAATATTAAAAAGCAGTATTTTTAAAAACTCCAAACCTACCAAAGACACCCATTGGGGTACCCTGTCCTGATGGCCCCAGGAACCTGAGGCTGTCACCAGCCTCCAGAGTCTGCTTGAGGCCCAGAACCTGATATTAGGAGGTCACCAACTTAGCGTGAGGGAGGTACCCAATTCTCCCGTAAGAATCCCCAACGCCCCCGAGGTATGAAATAAACAGAAAAAAACAATAAGGATCAGCACAGCCTAGGGGTGCGGGAGAAAGGGCACCTGCAGGGCTGCACGCAGCTTCAAGTCTGGTCAGGGCTATGCGTGAGGACAGGTCTCTTCATGAAGACGCAGGCCCAGCCCCTGAGCTCCAATGGGGCCTGATCAGGCCACCTCCAGGGTACAGTGACCTCAGGTCACCAGTGCCAACCTGGGCAGTGGAGTGAGGAACAGGCTGAGAGCTTTTAGTCATAAAGGTGGGATGAGAATCTGTTCAGGAGCAAACAGGAAAATACATCTGGGAGGAATTATCATCTCAACAAGCTCCTTTACCCAGTGGCTGGGTGGTAAGAAGCTGTGCTGCAACTCCAGAGGCATGTGGTTCAAATCCACCAGTTACTCCAAGAATGGGCAATCAACTCCCATGCGCTTTAGAAAACCCACTGGAGGGTCAGCTCTGCGTCAGCTCCACTCTGACAGCACACAACCATTGCCACTGGAACCCGTGGAGACTGGGAGCTGGTGGAAGGGCCCAGAGCTCATGGATGCTGATGCAGTACTGGTTACCACAGCCCAAGAGAGGTCCTAGGTGAGGAGGTGTGTGAGCAAAGTCCCCTCCACGTCCCACTCCTAAACCCAGAGCTTTGTCTGGGGGACAGATGTCCTTAAGGAGACAAGCTAGCGGGAAGGACTTCAGCTCTCACCCTGCAGCTTTTCGTAAGATCTTCTAGGGGCGAGAACCACAGAAATCTCACAGACACCAACGTGGTGTGAGGAAGGCCCGAGTGTGTCCCTGAAGCCCTCTCAGAATCAGGGCTGTGTCCTGTAGACAGTGATGCTGATGCCAGAGGCAACCTTGACCATCATTTGCTCACCGGAAGAGGGCTCGGAGCTGGCAGAGGCCCCACCATCCTCAGCCTGGCCACGGCCTCCAGGTTCACTACGCACAGCTCTCCAGGAGCACCCCTGGGCCAGGAGGGAGCCCAGCACGCTGCCTGGCAGCCTGTGGGTATTTACAGAGGGCACTCCTAGAATGAGGAACGTCTCCTGCACAACACGGCACAATCGGCTGGCCTATGGCTGCGGGTCTCGGTGCGAGTTATCTCCACACAGCAGATAAAACTATGACGAGCCTCCTCTCAGGGCTGGGTAAGGCTCGAGTCCCCATCAGAGGAGTTACCCCGTGACAGGTTCCAACCTGGACGAGGCACTCTGCTTCCTGCTGAGGTGAGGCCCCATGAGGGCAGGGGAGTCCATGCTCCCCAAGGGCTCTGTCTAAATGCTCAGGGGACATCTGTCCTGGGAACCAACTGAAGCAGTTCAGCAGACGTCCACCCAGTGCCAAGTCCTAGGGGACACACACACACACACACACACTGCTCTCTCTGGTCTGCACAAGAGGGTGCTTGAGGCTGGGGGAGGGGTGGGCAGGGAATGTGCAGCAAAGAGGCAGGGCACCTGGAGCCAAGAAGGCATGTGACAGACCCCAGCCATACCCTTCACACCAAGCTGCGGTGCCTTCGAGCTCATGTGTTAAGTGGGAACACTGTTTGCCCAAATGAGGTCGTAGGAATTTCTTCTTTTATAGGGGCAGGACTTAGCCCCAAGCATGAGGCCTGTGCACAGCAGACCACGGCAGTCTTTACTGGATGGTCGTAAGGTTAGGACAGCGGCACAGCTCAGAAACTACAATGCGGGCGCTTCACCTCCACTTCAATGCTATTTCTAATAGTTACGGTCCTACTTCTTGAGAAACCCCCAATCAGACCCAGGGCGACCCCCACACACACTGGGTTTCTAAGGCGGGAAATCCTTCCTGAGGGTGACTGCCCACCCATCTTCCTCAGAGCGGCTGGTGGATTTGAACCACTGGACTTTCCATTAGCAGCCAACACATGACCAACTACACGGCCAGGGCTGCTGTTACATGAGAAGGGGAAGTAAAATAGACCACGATCCAGTCATTAGACAACATCGGAGGAAACAGCAGCGGCCCCTCCAGGACCACCCTGTCCACCACCACTCCGTCCAGGACCACTTTGTCCACCAGCACTCAGTCCAGGACCACTCCATCCAGGACCACTCCGTCCACCAGCACTCAGTCCAGGACCACTCCATCCACCATCACTCCGTCCAAGACCACCACTCTGTCCATCACCACCCCGTCTAGGACCACTCCATCATCACTCCGTCCAGGACCACTCCGTCCACCACCACTCTGTCCAAGATCACCCTGTCCAGGACCACCCCATCCGGGACCACTCCATCTACCAGCACTCCAGGAGGCAGCCCAGGGACACACCTGAGTGCCGCGCCAGCGGGGACAGGTCATAGCTCTTCCTGCCGTCACTGAAGCTGCAGAGCAGGTCCTCCTTCTCCTTGACACAGGCGTACTTGGTGTCCCAGGTGAAGAAGTAGGTGCAATCGACCTCCCCTGTGAAAACAGGGCTGCCTCTCCCGTCATTACCTGAGGAACAGGCCAAGAGAAAAGTCAAACTGGAGGATGGGAAAGAACCCGAGGATGTCAGTGCAACCGTGGAACAAACAGCAAAGGCCCCAAGGCCAACGGTCCATTTCCAACACCCCAGTGACACCTCTCCACAGAGCTTTAGGCCACGCAGTCAGAAACCTCTCCACCCGGGACCTAGCTCTGCTCTCCCTGGGGGAACAGACGACGGGTGGGGAAGGAGGGGTGACCATCCTGCTGGAAGAGCAGCTCTGCAGGATAATGACAGGGACAGGTGGGAGACAGCACGACTCGGAGCTCAGGGGCCAAGGCTGCAGGCACAGCCTCTGGATAGTGAGACCATTCATTCACACAACCTGTTAACCGTTCCCAATCTCTCCAGCCCCACGGCACCCTGACAGCACCATCCAAGACACCCGCCCGGGATGCCCCACGTCACAGCGTACTTTCCTGGGGTGTGGATTCTGCGAGCAGCCCGGAGGAACAAGGGAGGTCACCCTCACCCCTTACTCTGTGCTGCACAGACAATGTGACCTATTCACGAATGTTTAACTTTCCTCCTAGTCTTCAGCTGAGTTACACTTTCCCACCTCCCTGCAGTTATGGTCAGACCGTGCAACTTCACGCTGGCCTCTTGACTGAGTCCTGCCCTATTCTGCAAAGAGCTGGGTGGCCTAATGGTTAATGATAACAAGGGTTGAGGTCCCCTAATGGTTGCACGGAGCAGTGCCCCACCGCCACCCTGGGCCCTCAAAGCCCCTGGGGAACCGAGAGCGGAGAAAAAGTGCACCCTTATTGTGCTAAGCCACGTTAGCAGAGTTTTTAATTAACTTATGCTAATCAAAAGTACAGTAGGAATGCTCCTTCGAAGGAAGGATGGCGAGTGTGGTGACACGTTCTGAAGACATGTGATCAAGAGAGACCAGTCCTTGGGGAAGGGCACATGCTTGTTAAATAAAGGGTCAACTAGAAGGAAAACCCCCATCAACGGCTATGAAAGGCTCAGATGGCATGTCTGTGAGCTGGGTGCCGGGAGCAGGGACGGTGCAGCTGGTCACTAGGACCTGCACTGACCTGATGACAGCATGCTACTCTATTTCACTTTCCCCTCAAATGATCTAGTATCCCTTTTTGACAGAATCCTAACTAATAAAGCACCCCCATTACACCACACTACATGGAAGTTACTGAAGTGAACGATCTCAATGTGTTTATGTGTTGTGCATAGGACTGAAAGAATGCATTTATACACCTTTGTATATCTTAAATATTCATGAGCCGTTAGTGTCCTAAGCATAAGTAGTTCCTGAAGATCTAAGTTAAACTGTAAACTCCATTACGCACTGGAGCCAACTAACACACACGCACATTAAAAAACACATTACTTCTGCATTTATCCAAGTAGCACAGAAGCCATCATGGTGTTTTCTCAAAAGTCTCCCAGTTTAAACTTGAGTGTGGCCTTCTAATGAAGGACATGCAGCCGGCTCCAAAGGCTGGAACCCCGACTCCAGGAGCGGGAAGGACTGGTAAATATTTTATGACCCACCCCCTGCCTGGAAGGGTCCAGGAAATCCTTGCACAAAACCCCAGTGTCCCTCTGCCTGGCTCCCAGCTCCCTGCCACCAGAGACAGGCTGCCCAGTGCCGAGGTTCCAATATGTGAGTATCGTTCAATTTGTCAAGCACACAACTGACATTACAGAAACAAATGCCCCTTTTTACATCCTTTTGTGAGGTGAAGAGCTGTAATTCATTAATCATCATGGCAAATCTTTGCTTCTGTCAGGTGCCGTCAACTCCAATGCATAGCAACAGGCCATGCGCAGAGCAAGACCTGCTCTGAGGGTCTCTGTGGCGGCGAGCTCTTGGACGCAGACCACTAGGCCGGTCTGCCCAGGTGCCTCTGAGGGGGTTCCAATCACCCACCTTTCAGCTCATGGTTAAGCACTTAGCATCACTCTGGGACGGCTGAGGCAAGACCCTTAGGACTTAAACCTGAGTGAAAGGCATAGGGTATCATGTACCATATTAATTCTATATTTGAGTTTTTCGTTTTGTTTTATTTTTTAATCTTAGAAAGTTTGGTTGTGGTTTTTTTTTGGGGGGGGGTGTTAGTTTTTTAAAAGTATTCTTTAGCAAGTTTTTCAAGCATTGCTTACTTCCAGAAGTTTTCTCACCCAGGCCCCATGAATCCCAAACTCCCTGCCCGACCCAGCATCCTCCTCGCGTGTTTGGGTCTTCCTGGATCTTTTCTGTATCTTCCCCACATCCTCAACGAGAGACACGCACACTCACAAAACTCAATCAGAGCGCCACCTGAGAAGCCCTGAGCAGGCAGGGCCCAAAAGAGAGATTATGTGCCCCACGCACCTAGTTCTTTCAAGACGATCTAGCCCTCTGAGATGGAATTAGCAGAAGCAACCCCAAAGGCCAGATGGAAAACTCAGGAGCAGTGGCTTTGCTCCTGTGGAGGAAGGACTGTTCGGAAAAGGAGAGTGAGATGCCTGAACAAACCCACGAACACAATTCACGTCAGTGACTGAACTGTGGGAATTACGAGCTTGGTAGTGGGCTCTGTGTGTATATTCTCAGCAGTAACAAATAAAAATGCATTCCATTTTTTTAAAAAAAAAAGCTCTAAAAACACACACAGAACCAAGGACCAGCAAGAACCTTTAAGGATGGGCAGTCAGTACCAAGACCAAAGCTGGGCCAGGCCCAGGGGTGAGTGGGGGGCTGTGTCAGCCGGTGGCTAGAGAGAAGCAGGGGGTTGGGCTTACAGCTTAAAGGCCAACCTTTAATAAGAGGGGTGACCTCCAGCTGTCACAAAGCCCCGCACCCCTCTGCAGATGCCAGGGGTGTACATAATCTTCAAGATAAGGCTGGCGGGTGTTTTGAAATGCCAGTGTCCTTGTGATTTCAAGAAACGTTTTCCTAATGGCTCAGATCAAAACTCAACACGCAGCTGAAACCTGCCCTGTGACATTCGGCAATCTAAACATCAGAACTGCGCAAAAAGGGTAATCTTGAGGCTGCTACATCAAAGAGGCCACCCACTCCAATTGAGCTGGGGGCAAGCCCAGCCCCGCGGCACTGACTGCAGTGTGAGCGAAAATTCAAGACAGAAACCCTCCCGGCAAGGCCAGGCTCGGGCCCACTCCCAAAACAAACAGAGAGGAGAGGAAAATGGAAACAGGATGTGTGTGTCACTGGGGGAGGGTTCTCCCACCCGTTACGGCCACAGAAAGCCCAGCCTGGGGACCACAGCTGGCCAGGGCCAGAGGAGATGGGGGCTGCTCCAAGAAACGGCTCC